TTTTTTTCAGTGTGGAGAAAAATGATTGTGTCAAAATGGCAAGCATGCGCCGCCTTACTTTTCGACGGGCATTAATTTATAGTTGCATCTTCCCAAAGAACATGAAATGATAAGTTGATCACATCGACACGTGTAACCGATCACGTAGTGATATCTTCCAACGCCATCGTCTCGACCATGAAAACCAACGATATTCTCACGTCACCGGATGGACTAACTAACGAAACGCGAGACTCGTGACGCGGACGCGCTTACACGAGCGCAATTGCCGCGCGCGGCCGTTAATTCTGTCACGGCGATTCGTTATGGTCGTCGCAGCGATTAGATAAAAGACCGACGAGTCGGCAAATCGGCGGCTGCGATCGTAAAAATAAAAAAAAATAACGTAACTCCGACTTTGTGCGCCACGCGTCCGGTCCGCCGTCTTTCCGGTTCGCGGTCGCCGCGCTCGTATACGTAAACGATCAATTTCATAGGTATCATTATCTCTGGCCCATCGTTGCTCTCGCTCACGTCGTCATTGAGGAAGCACGATTATGCAATTTTACAGGTCACATACGCACCTCGCCGATTATCCGTATGCACACGCACAATCGCGTCTGCCGCCATCCATTCGTTGCGTAAAGTGCATTGATAAAAATCCCCCCCTCCCCAAGATGAAGAAACAAATCCTCTTCAATTTATATCGTCGAGTTACGTTCATTCGATATAAGCATTGGCGTGTCGAATTACAAAATTTTCTTCATTTTTAAGCCTTCAATCGATCATAACTGGCGACGTGTTCTTGACGCAGAAAATTTATTGCGAAAAATAGTAGGTTTATGAACCTGAACTTCCCTACCGTCTAGGCGAGCGTCGAAGTGATGAGACCAGGTTCAAACCCTGGGCTGAGGTATAATATTTTTCGCAATTTTTCTGTGTTAAGAACACGTTGCCGGTTATATGGTCGACTGAAAGCTTAATTATTGTTAGTCCCGTGCTGGCGTCAAATAATGCTCGATGTCAATTCATTTCCTTCCTCTTTACGATAATTCCAAAGTTTTGGAAAAAGTCCCACCAGGGAGTGGTCTCTCGCACCGAAGAATATCAACGCGTCCCCGTGGGCGTAGGATGGACGCGGTTTCGACCTTATGCAAATTTGCGCGGGTCGGTATCATTTACGAGTTCACAGGTCGAGTTACAGTGCCAGTTCGCCAGAAGCGGAAGTGGTCGAGCTTTGGCGACAGGCAGGAAAACGCGTCGGGCCTCGGCGATTAGATCGCGTTCTAGGACGTTCGTTACGTAGCCCTTGATACGAATTCGCGCTGCGTTTCCGTTTTGTAGCGCATACTTTCGTATGCCGCGAAACGACGACGTCGCACAGAACGCGAATTTAACGTTGCCAAGTGAATTTTGCTCTATAAATTCCGTAATACGGAAGCATCCGCGCGAAAAAATCAATTGCGATACAACAGTACCGTTCGCTCTCTTTCGAGAAATGGTTTACTCGCACCGGCTTGCTTCATCTAAATTCGACTTTATACTTTGTCTTATTTTGTCTTCTTGACTACTGACCCGCACGCGATTAGTTAACGATCCTGAATAATGCTAAAGATGTTCATTTTGAGAGGAAGCTGAATAAAACGAAGACCCACTCAACTCGCCTAGTTTTCTTTTCGAATTAGGCTAAACGGAGCATGTTAATTAAACGGAGCGTATGCTATGTAATTTCTTGAAATTGATTCGAAAGAAACGAGTGCACGGTATTTCTTTTACAGCTGCATAGAGGCATTGACTTAAGACATTAAGGATTAACTTTCAACGATCGCGCCGCGGCGCCGGCGGCGACGTCGGCGGCAGTGGCGGTGGCGGTGGCGGTGGTGGCGGCGGCGGCGGCGGTGGTGGTGGTGGTGGCGGCGTCGGCGTCGGCGGCGACGTCGGTGTCGGCGTCGGCGTCGGCGTCGGCGTCGACGTCGGCGTCGACGGCAATCGCGACGACGCGGCAGTAACGGCGCCGCATGCGGATCGACGTCGCGTGTCGTCGCCAGGATCGACTTGAAACATGTTCAAACTCTCCGCAGCGTGAGAATTTGTTGATCCACGACAGATTAAAGTGCGGTTTTCTACGTATCGCCCTGCTACCATATCGATACACGGCATATTTTCTATATCGATAATCCCTTTGTCCACATAAATACAAAATAAAATCAGGCTTTCTCTCTCTCTCCCTCGTAGTTGTTGAGCTCAATCTATCTGACTGACAGATTGTCACCATATTGCGGTAGACTTAAACCCCTTTCACTCTCCGTTATCACCTAAACTTGTCGAGAATTTCGAGCACGAGATGCCCGGCATTCAAGTGCGATTTTAAAGGGCGATTTTAAAGGGCGATCAGCGATCAATTTGCCAGCAGTTAAGCAGTTTACCAGGGTGATGATACACCGCACCATTCAGGCATAACCGGATAATCATTTTCATGGCTATCCATCCCTCTGTTTCCTCACCATGTTTCGCATTTCGTTCTACTTTCCTCGTTTCTCCCTACCTACCTCACCGTTTTTTCTTCCACCTCTCTCTCTCTCTCTCTCTCTCCCTCTCT